TAGTAAGTGTATTTAAAGTCTGACACATGCAGCACACAGACCCTGGCTTCTTTCTATAGTAAGTGTATTTCAAGTCTGACACATGCAGCACACAGATCCTGGCTTCTTTCTACAGTCTTACAGAGGTTAACCCATGAAAAACCTTGTCTGCATCTACATTAGATTACAAATGAAGAAAAACGCTTTTTAAACCTATTACATCAGTTCTATAAGGCATTATTTCCATTGAATTCAACAGAAATTTCCTTAACATTTCCTATGTATGTGCTCCTCCGTGAGAGACCACATTTTCTTCATCTGTAAGTCCTTAGTATTTTGCCAATGCCAAAGATACAAGTGCTCAGTAAAGAGGACCAAAAATTTAAAAATAAATATATATCTATCATAATATAGACTCTGTATTAGTTTAAATGCAAAAAAAAAAAAACTAAAAGAAAAAAAAGAACTGATTTCTTATAACTTCCTTTTTGTCTACAGCTGTAAGAAAGAAAAAGAGAAACCTCCCATCTAATCTTAACAAGATAATCAAACATCATGGTTCACACCTGTAATCCCAACACTCGGAGGTCGAGGCAAAGGAATAATCATGTGTTCAAAACTAGCCTGAGCTACATTCAGTGAGTCCCAGGCCAGCCAGGGATAAACAGCACCCTGTCCCAACAACAACTAAAATAAACTGGGGGGCGGGGGGCGGGAACTAACTAGCTTGGTTATTCATTTTGTATCTGTCTTCAATCTCAGTACTTCCTTGCACTAGAGCGAAAGGCTTCGACGCTGTCCACTTACCTACAGTTTCTACACGATTCTGAAGCCACGGGAAGTGCATTCCTGGATTAGAGAACACAGAAGTTTCTCTCTTGCCATTCTCTGCCACAGCAAGCTTTGTCAATTCTTCCCCGAAATCGCTCATATCTAGTCAAAACTGAAGAGTACCAGTCAGCTTCAGTACATGCTATTCCACAGGCAACTGAACAGAAAAGTAGCCATCTTTTCTTCTAATAAATATCACCTGAGCAGCAGAACCCATTGTATCTGATAGTTCTTTTAAAGTAACAGTTGAATCTGTTCAAGTCCTCAATAGCCCAAACTAAAGTTCCACTTAAAAAAAAGACGACGACGACGATGACTGGGGACTAGAGAGACGGCTCAGCAGAGCACTTGCCGCCTTTCTAGAGCACCCATGTGTAACAGTTCATGATCTTCTGGAACCCTAGTTCCAAGGCATCCAATGGCCTTCTTCTCAACAGGCATATATGTAGTGCAATGACATGCAAGCAAACACTCATACACGTAAAATAAGAATCATTTTTAAAATCCATAAAAAATAAAGACTACTGTAAAGCTATGTATCAAGTACATACAAAAATGAGACATCCTGATTACAAAGTAAAAACCTAAAGCTGCAGAAAGAAATCGAAGAATACATACCAACACAATATAACAAGTACAATAATAGCAGTAGCTAGTATTTACCGGGACTTAACTACATACTTAACCTATAAATTAGCTAATTTAATCACAGCAGCAACCTTGTTTTCTTCCACCTCAGGAATGAAAACTGTAGGACTCAAAGTATGTAATGTGACCAAAAGGAGCGGAAGACAAGAGTCTAGGAAATGCAAAGCACACCGACTAGCTGGTATGACGAAAATGGCTAGGAGGTGGGCAGGGGACCGTGGCAAATAAATGACTCTACCAAAGTAGCCATGAGCCACTGAGCTTGCATTTACCTGTCAAAAAGCTCAAGACCCCTGTTCTGTGTGTCTACCGAGTATTGAAGCTTCCGGGTACTACGATTTAGAATTCCACCAAACTTCCCTCCTACATCACCACCCTAGTTCCGGACACCGTCAGACTTGTCCAGGATGAATGCACTGGTGTGACGTTTGTCTGTCTGTCTGTTTTCTGCGGTGCTGGAGAAGGAACCTGGGGCCTGTGCCTGCTGCCAAACAATTTCTTTTTTTAATACTACGTTTTGTTTATTGTTCGGGGTGAGCCACCGCGCCCGTGTGGACGTCAGCGGACAGCTTACAGGGGTCCTTCCACCATGGATCGAACTCACTTGGCTTGACGGTAGTGGCTATTACCTGCTGGGCCGTCTCCCAAGAGCTGCCTCAAATTTTGCTCCTCAGCCTTCAATCCAGATTAAGCCTTTTAAAAAAGCAAACTCAACCGTTCGCCGCAAAAGCTTGAAATAACGCCTGAATGTGAAATCGACCCACCACGTATGGTAAGGAACGCAAATCCTTCTGAGGTTCTCCAAGACTCAGACTGGCGTGGTGGCGGTTGCCACGGTAACCAAAACTTCACAGTCCCCGAAACTCAGGTTCCCAGAACCCAAGATTGCAGAAAGTCAGGAGGAAATAGCAGAAGGGAGAGGCAGGATGCTCATGTACCTCTTCCAATTGCCCTGGGAGCGAAGGGCGCACCGACCCCACGGGTGGCTACAGCCCGGCCGCAGAGTTGGCGGGTCCCCACGCCGCGGACGCCAGAGAAAACCCTCGCCGGAAGCAAGAGTTAGCCGGCGCTTCCTGTGAGCCTGCGCAGAACCAGCCCGGCGGGCAGTCGGGGAGCGTGCAGGAGCAGCCGCGCCCCCACCTCGTGCTTGCCTATGGGAAAGCGGCGGAGCCTCTCCAGCTCCGGGGAGGCCTCGGAACGTGACCCGGAAGTGGATGGTAGCTTCCGCTTTCCCATTGGTTTGGCTCAGATTTACATCTTGGTCTGTGCCAGCCGGAAAATGGAAGGTTTCCATCGCAAAGTCGAGTGTGGAGTGTGTGTGTGTGTGTGGTGTGTGTGTGTGTGTGTGTGTGTGTGTCCGGGGGGGGACATAGCCGATTCTGATTGCTGCTTTGGAAATTATTTTATTACAAATTTTAGCATCCGATTTAAGTGACTTGCTGCCTTCACAGCTTGAGCAAGAATCCATTTTTCCTTCTCAACGTGAATTGTTCTAGGGATCGGCCTGGAGTTCACTTTCAAGAGGGACAGTGACAGCCATGTAGTAATTATGGAGGTGGATAGTGACATTGTTAAGCCGCGTGAAAAGGGGGGAGGAGTTTGGGAAGATGACCCTGAAGAATGGCCAGAGATATATGGAAAAATACTACTTGAAGGACTGATCTACTTTGGCTTTTGTTTGTTTTTTGAGACAGGGTTTCTCAGTGTAGCTTTGCGCCTTTCCTGGATCTCGCTCTGTAGCCCAGGCTGGCCTCGAAATCACGGAGATCTGCCTGCCTCTGCCTCCCGAGTGCTGGGATTAAAGGCGTGCGCCACCACCGCCCGGCCTGGTTTTTTGTTTGTTTGTTTGTTTGTTTTGTTTTGTTTGTTTTTTGAGACAGGGTTTCTCTGTGTAGTTTTGATGCCTGTCCTAGGTCTCGCTCTGTAGACCAGGCTGGCCTCGAACTTACAGAGATCTGCCTGACTCTGTGCGCCACCACTGCTGGGCCTGACGGACTGATCTGATAATGGACAGATTATCACAGAGATGTGAACAAACATTAATGAGTAAAAGCTAAAGGGAGGCCACCTTAAAGTCATATTCAGTTAAGGCTACATAGATCAAAGTATGGACTCCTCCAAAATTCTGAATTTACTGCTTGAGAATAGAATCTGTGTATCATGGAAATTAAAGAGTTTGTACATAGTTTTTTAATGCTACAGATATTTTATTCTATGTTTTCTTCATAACCAATATGCAGTAGCCATAAGCACTGGAGAAAGGTTCTTTATACTGTTGTTGTATCATTAGTCTTTGCCCTTAAGCTTGTTCTTTTTGTTGTTGCTGTTTTTGTTTTACTTAATTTTGGGTTTTTCTAAGACCAAGTTTCTACAAAGCCCCTAACTGTTCTGGAAATCACTATGTAGATAAGGTTGACCTAGAATGCATAGAAATCCAATAGAATTCATAGAGTTCTGCCTGCCTCTGTCTCCCAAGTGCTGGGATTAAAGGTGTGTACCACCATGCCTGGCCTTTAAAACTGTACTTTATAACTACAGGCAAAGCTAAAATAAATGATGATGTGGCCAAGGTGGGGTGGTCACACACACTAAGACAGTAATTAGCTTGTCATTTGGAAGCTTGGTTCATCAAAATGAACTGATTTTTTTGTTTGTTTGTTCATGCTCATAAAAATAGGGGGAAATGTTGGGCGGTGATGGTGCACGCCTTTAATCCCTGCACTCAGGAGGCAGAGGCAGGTGGATCTCTAAGTGAAAGGTCAATCTGGTCTACACAGTGAGTTCCAGGATATCCAGAGCTACAAAGAGAAACACTGTCTCAAAAAACAAACAAACAAACAAACAACAAAAACCAATGGGGGCGTGTTCTGATCTCAAAGTTTTCAAACATCTCTTGATATTAGGAGATAAAAGTGAGAAAATCCACTATCTTTATATTCCTTACATACCACTTCCCTTTCCCACAGTACAATTCTGGATGAAAATGTGTTGAGAAGGAGCATGCACAAAAGCTTTCTAGACTCCAACCTAGAATGTATGTTACAAGAGAGAGGAAAATATTCTCACAGTTGCTTTTCACCAAGGGAACAACTTAATAATGGTGATGAGCTACATTTTCTAAAAGCCTTGGAGGTGTCTTGGAAAATATTATTCCCATGAACCTTTTATATATAAGAACAAGCTTCACATAAACAGTTGAAAAACATCATCACCAATAAACTAGACTAATAGTGTCGGTTAAAAGAGAAGATGACAAAAATAAAAGCATAAAGACAAAGCCAGCTTGCATGGTAGTGTAAAGTTTTATCCAATTATAGCTTCCCTGAAATACATGGGTTAGGAACCTACACTAGTCTGAGACTTGGAAAAAGACTCTTAAGAGGCACTTCAATTTTTCCCTCCTTGTTTGGTACCCTGAGCCACTATGGAAAGAAAGAAGCCCAGGCTAGTCTTCTGGAGAGAGATGGTAGATGAATAAAGAGCTCCTAGTATACTAGCATCATAAAGAAAGCACAACCATCATTCAGTGCCTTGGTTCTAGACACATGAAGAAGATGAAAAGGTGGTCATCTCAGATTTTAGAGCAGTTATTGGCTGGAAGCAATCACATGAGTGATTCCAGTTCAACAACAGGTGTAGTAGAATCAAGCTAAACCCTACATAAACTCCCAATTCAAACTAAACAATAAAATGGTAGTTATCTTCAGGCACCAATTTTTGGTGGGTGAGTCTAAGAAAATACAAGGAATGTGGTACTATATCAATTCTAGCCCTGGGCTTTAAGATGCCTTACACTTCTCGCTTATTGTGAAAGAGGACTCCAGTCAACAAGTTTAAGATACATGACTGGATAATTTGAATGAAATACAGGTCTATTCCAATCAGTTTAGCCACCACAGCACAACTAACAGATGATGGAATGAAGCTATTTTAACCCAACTCATAGCTGAAAAAAGTCGTGTGAGTGACCCCAGCCAGTAACTCATAGAATAGAAGACCATTCAGCTAAGTCCAGATAAGACATAGAATAGGGAGAAATAAGTAATTTTGTTAAGCTACTAAATTTATTACATAGGGCAGAATAAGTGTTGATCTGTTTCCACGTGGTGAGACAACTTTAATTCTGGAGTTCCCTTTAGCATTGCTAGTAGAGAAGTCCTGTTGTTATTGTCTAAGTTTTTATTTCAGTTTTGGAGACTATTCATACTGGACTGGCAGATTTTTTTCTTTCAGCGCTGTAAACCTTCCTGATGACTTTTAGTCTCTTTTCTGATTAGATTAAACGTTAACCATTTTTACTGATCAGTGATGTATCATTTGTCTCTGGTTGCTTTCAATTTTCTCCCCATTTGATTATTTATAGATAGCAGTATACTGATCTCTGTGTGAATCTTTTCATTAAATTCATATATACACTGAGTCTTCTAGACCTATCAGTTTCTTCTTTGTTAATTTGGAAAATTTTTTGCCTCAAATAAATTTCTGTTCAATTATGTCCATGCTTTCAAACACTTGGAGAACTTCTAAGTATATATTAGTAATACCACTTAGTATTAAGAGATTAGAATATAATTTCTGCTCAGTTTTTTTCTGATCATTAGACCTGATAATTCCTATTGGTCTGTCTTCAAATTGACCCTTTTTTGGTTGGCAGTGTAAAACCTTCTGATAATCCTGTTTCATTATTTTTTCACTTAAAATACTGTTTCTTATTATTTGAATTTCTTCTTTTTTCAAAAGAAAGTTTCACTTATATGTTGATATGCCCTATTTGTCCATTATAACTATGCTTCCACTAAGTGTTTGGAGTCTTTTTTTTTTTTTTTTTTTTTT